ATTATCATGCCAAAAGTTATTTTTGCATATTAAAATTTACTACACCTAGTGGAATATACCTAGTGTAATTTTGCTTGTATTAGAGGGGTATGCAGTGATTTTTCTCTCACTTGGAGCAATTCTGTCTAAAGATGGGGAAAACCCTCTTCAGCCAGGGTTTGAATCAAACACGGCTTGAATCTTGTATCTCATACCCTTTCTCCATTACTTCTCTTAGTTATTAAAAAAAAACAAACTTATTTTATGTAAAAAGGGTAGCATGTGGTGGAAGATTTTGATAAGAAATCCCTATGGATCCTGTCTTTGATAACAAATTATACTTCCAGCCAGGGATTGCAAATTTTGACCAAAATGGACACTTAATTGTGCTTTCCATGTATTTATTTCAAACATTTGAAATCTCTGCAAGGATTTTCAGATGTCACTATGGATGTTTGAAAAGCCTTATTTCATTTGGAGTGGGGTGAGCTATAAATATGATAAAATAAACAAATAAAAACCTAATAAAGACTCCCATCTTCTAAGCCTTGGAGCAGAGTGGCCAGGTGACCCCATGTGTTCGTAGAAAGTGGCTTCTGCACAGTGCAGCAGAGACCCAGAGCCGCTCCTTCAAAGCGAGTTGCTGAATCAGAACACACCGCCCTGTTGCAAAAGGGTGGGTGGGGTGGCATGTTCCCATTTCACCCACCCGTAACTTTTAGGTCTGTTCCCCAGGTGAATTGCACAAGGAAGTGGCACATGATGCTGTTGGGGCTGTGCTGCTGAGCTTCTGCAGAGTGATATCTGGGGCAGGGAAAACACCATTTTCTTTCATGCTTCCTTCCTTAATTATTCCATCTAGTATTATAAACCACACGTTATTTAATCCTGCTGTTCTTTGACCTATTGCGATCAACCGTTCCATATTGTTTTGCTTTCTATTTTCAATACTATCGGACTGTTCTGGAGGCGTTGCTACAAAATATTTTCTTTTCAAGGAGCTCTCACTCTCAATCTCACTTGTGTTAACACTTCTGTTTTTATTACTTTGTTAGGTTATTTTCTTCTTCTAGGAAATTCAAAAATACCAGAGATCTTGTTCATCCCATTTGATATTGTTTAGAGATTTACACAGCAAGTACTTCCTAAATATATTTACAGAAGGAGCCCAGAATAATATGGCTATACTTCACAGAAACACATTTACCTATGTATGTGTGTATATGTTTAATGAAAGTTGAAGTTCCTTTTCAGATTAATTCATTTTGGAGCAAGTTACAACTTTTACTCCTTGCCTTACTTCAAAGATTGAAATACCTGAAGCCTGATCAGAGTTATTCATAAACAATCTGAAATCTTTCAGTATTGAATGTTCTTCATTTTTTAAAATCTTTTTTATTGTTTTTTGTGGAAGCGTTATAGAAGTTGAACTCTCTATGTACCAGGAACCTTTCATTCCTCTTGTAAATTCTTGTACACTGTGAAAAATTTAAATATCAAGAATTTTATTTGATAAAAGTTGCCATTTCCTCAAAGTCTCATGTTGTTTATGATACATAACAAATTATTAACATGTCATCCATGTGTATGCACAACTGAAACACTGATGATTTTTAAAATGTATTGGATTTAAAAATTTATATCCTGCCCATTTCCATTCTGGGCCTCTGGGTGGGTTAAAATATTCATAAACAATAATCAACCACCTAATCATTAAACCCAGCTAACAACTCATTTAAAAACTATAAAAGGCCTGAATAAAAAGAATTGTTTTATGAAAATTTTCCTCATGATAAGAGTTGCTGTTCAGTATGGAATAGGAGGTGGTGGACTCTTGTTTACTGGAGGTTTTTACACAGAAGATGGATGGCCATCTGGTAGAGATGGATTCCAAGATTCCTTCCAAACTATATATTCTATTATTCTGAAGTCTCTCCTGAATATAATTTAGAGAGGACCAGCTTCAGTTCCAATGGCTAGTTCTTGAATAGCCTAACCCCCACCCCCCCACGGAAAAGCAGAATTAGCTTTTGAATTAGCATGCCTACAGCAGGCCTGCAAAAGGTGCCCAGTTGAAGATCTCAAAGTTGGTGCTTAATGGAAAACAGATGTCCTCTCAAGTTATTGCTTTGATGTCTACATATTGATGTGGATGTTGGTAAGGTAAACCCTGCACATGCAACATTGGGGTTTCATCAATCAAGGAATGCCTATGTATGCATAACAGTGTTGTCTACCTGACTGACTGTTATACAAGCATAACAAAATGCTATTAAAACAAATGTTTTCATAAAATCAAGTCTACAACCCTGAATTTAATGAGTCAAATGTTTTTTTCTGGGCGTTCACTGAACAAGTTGCCCTTGGTTAAAAACTAGCCTGGGAAGAGTGCCATCCTGTTAATGTTAGCTGGCAATCTTGAACACAAGAAGAGCAATAGAAGAAATTGTGGTTATGGCAAGGAGGACTTCCAGCAGGCCACTTTGGGAGATGAGAGGGGATGGTGGTTTTGTCTTACAAAGCTGACTTCTCGCAAAAACACTTTTGGATTTAGTTATACTACAAATAGTGAGTATAACTCTGTCTTGGGTATTACACACATGACCAAACAGCTCTTCTAACCGGTAAGGGATAAGAAGAGGATAGAAGGGGATAGAAATACAATTGGAGATCAATACTGATGACGCCTTTACATGGTGCCCGCTGTTCTCCAACTACATTGTGAAATGATGCCTACTACTTTAAAAGATTGCTGAGCCCTGGAATAAATATCCAAAGAGAGTTAGTGTGCTGAAGTGGTTAAAATGTTGGATTGGCACTAGAGAGATTCAGGATGAAATCCACCCTCAGTGGCAGAAGTTCATTGGGTGGCTTTGGGATAGCCATTCTTCCAGCCCAAGCTACCACACAGGATTATTGTGGAAAAGAAAATATAAGGAATGTTCTTGAGCTCTATACAAAAGGTATGATATACATCTAATAAATAAATAAATAAATAAATAAATAAATAAATAAATAAATAAATACTTTATTTCTTCTTGCTGAGTTGGATGTGAAAGACTTGAGAACTGCTTCAGAGAAACAGGGAAAGGAGTTCTTAACAGAGATCACAATGCCTTCCCTATTGAGAAAATAAACATGTACTCTCTTGATTCATGCTGATTCCTTTGCCATTTTTCTGGAATACCCACAGGAATTCTCAGAGACTGTCATGCAAGTTTAGGAAAATACTATATTCCAAGGATCTCTTTTTTGGTGAACATCATGTTGTGTGCTGGAGGTGTCCACAGGGGGATCAAAATGTCAGGATGGTAGCCACATGCAAGAAAAGGGCCTTTGATTGCATGGTTGTGGCCATCACTGTGACTTTTTTGAAACCCCTGGGGACACCCCAGTTGCGTGCAGTAAAATTGTAGCATCTCTTTCTTCATCATCCAATAGGGAGCTCCATAACCACATAGTATGGATAAATGCAAAAGTGATCTTTGGATGAAAAGAAGGGACATTGAGAAGAAATTCAAAACTTGTATACCTAAGTTACTGTCAAAAATGAGGAAATGCCTTACCACAAATGAAGGGACAACTCTGCCTACGATTTGCATATGCTAATGTATATGTATAAATTCAATAAAAAATGATCACTGTATCTTAAATAGAAATTCGATATGTTTCAGCTTAGTAGTGAAGACTGTGACCTAGTTCTAGATTTGCCTGCTCACTGCTGACATATAACATTTAGACCCCTGTTCTCCCTAAATGAAGCTTGGAGTTGACAGCCTTCAAACAGAGGAGGCCTTCATCTGGCAGATTCTTTTCTGAAAATAGGATACTTGCTTGGGTGTCCATGGGATGGGCAAGGGCCAAACAACATCACGTTATAATTTGAATGATGTAGATCACAGAATTCATATTGTTTCTGTTATGCTGTTACAATGCATGTGACTTTATTGTGGTTTGCTTTAGACTTCTATAGATACATGGCCACTCTCCTTGCATTTGCGTTTCCTGCTCTGTCCACATCATTATTATGCTCAAAACTGCTTGAAATGCCTTGCAGATTAACAACTTGAAAATATTTAAATTGCTGGTTGGAAATCACCATGGACTCATTGCTTGGAGATTTATTTCAAGCAACTCTTCTTGAGAATAGCATGCCTTCTTATTGAGTCCTTTCTTTAACTGGCTTTGATAGCTTGAATGGACTCTCAGGTTCCTACTCCCATGAAAATCTGCTACACTGAATTGAGCTGGAAGGCAGGAAGTTCATTGAAGAAAGAGTCCATTCGATTTCTTTGAGCCTAATCAAAAGAAATATCCATGGATTGTCCGAGAAGTGCTAATCATCCAAAAGATACTAAAATGATAACCGTCTGAGGTATGGAAAGATGAAACCACAAGTTTCTGACATCTCTCCTCTCTTTGTTGTCTTTGGCATTGCTCTTTGAATGCAATCTACCTAACTAAATATTGACAGGATTATTCTTTTTTGTTTCAAGGAATACTTTTCTCTAGCTTTTAAAGTGGTGTTGCCCAGACTTTAAACCTTATTCTGGTGCCCTGGTCAGTGGCTAGAGATTATGGAAGTGGGATTTCAACCCATTTGGAAGGCACCAGGTTGAGGTAGGACTGCTTTAAAGTAACAATCTATTGTCTTCCTCCTGCAGTTGAGAAAAAGGGATGGAGACAGAAGCTACACAGCTAGATATATGATCTCTCTTCCTGACTCTTAGTGTTCCTTTTGTGCAAAAAGACTGTAAAGATTTGCAGAGAGATAGAGCCAATGTGAGAACAACACTTGTCCTGACAGAAGGTATGTAACCTACTCTTGCTTTCCCCACCCCCTTTTACCCCTGTGCACTTTTCTGGCAGACATCCTTGAGCATTTGAGACGGATGTGAGAGAATTTTCAGCCCTCACTGGAAAACAAGCCAACTAAACATAACAGATTACATCAGCTCAGGCTTTTCAATTCCTGGATGGTAGCAGCGTGCTAATCCAAACTTCATCCTGGATTTCGCAAAGTAAAACAAGGGAGGCTGGCAAGAGGACAAATTGAGGAAATTGACAACGGCAGGCCTTGTGGGCAAGAGGCTGTATAAAGCTCCAAAATTTGTAAGCTGATCTTCAGAACTTCCACATTTGGTTCTTCACTCCTGTATCCTAGAGCAGAAGACATCCAGATTGAACTTTTGCAACCTGCCATTGAGGACAGTGGAATTGTGCTTTCATCACCAGGAGTCATGAGCAGTTTTTTGGTGTTCACTCTACTTCTGGTACCCATGCATGTCAGAGCTACCTGGAGCACCAAGTATGCAGTAGATTGTCCTGAGTCCTGTGACAGCAGTGAATGTAAAAACCCGCTGCATTGTAAGCGGACTGTGTTGGATGACTGTGGCTGCTGTAGGGTGTGTGCTGCAGCTCTGGGAGAAACTTGCTACCGGACAGTTGCAGGCATGGATGGTGTCAAATGTGGGCCCGGACTGAAGTGCCAGTTTTTTTCTGAAGAAGATGATTTTGGAGATGAGTTTGGTATCTGCAAAGGTAAAGAATGGTCACTAGATAGCGTTACCTATCATGATACTTAATGGTTAATGTATAGCTGTTGGAGACTGCTCCAAGAAATATGTAACATTTTTGGGGTTTTTTTGTTTTGTTTTGTTTTGGTAGACTTATTTCAGGCATATGAATTATCCTGCTGAGGTAGGGTAATTCCTGTGACGTGGGAAAAGATACAAATAGCTATTGATGGTATTCATATACCTAGTACAGGTATCTTCATTTTACCAAAGTCTATAAAATGGGTCATAATTTCTTTGCTTAGCAGGCTGGAAAAGAATTGCCTAAGGCTGCCAGCAGGTCAAGCACTTAATCCTAATTCTACGGGCACTGTATTTCCTAGAGAATGCTTCACTTTTATCCACAGGGAAGCAATATGCAAATATTGTCTGGGAGGTTTCTATAAATATTGCAAAAGCATTTAGGCCAATATTCTTTCCCAGAAGTATATAATACAGTATATGATATGTGCAATCAAGAAAGTAACACCTGCATTTTACAACATAGATAAAAGCTTTGGAAGGAAAGCATAGATGGGGTAATTGTGTGCCAAACAGTTCCTTCTCTACAACACCTTCAAAACAGCTGTTGAGGTTTGAGGTTCATATCAGTGCCCCCTTGTTCCCTGTCTTCTTTCCAAAGTTTAAAATGTATTTGCTGTTGCAGTCAAAAATGCAGTCCTATTAACACTGGCATTTTATGAAATATATTGTTTTATCCCGTTGAAAGTGGCAGATGGTGTATATTATGTAAAAAGCAGAAGTGGAATTCTAGAGTGGATTACTTTAGGCTGCAGAAGGAGGATGCCATCTTTTTTTGTGCTGCCCATGTTAAAAAAAAAAACCTTCTGCACATTGCACATGAGAATGTCACATAGAAAAGCGCTGTTACATTCTTCTTTCTGGTGAAGGAGGTTTGCATATGGAGACTCTGTTTCTTTCTCTCTCTTTCCTCCCTGCACCAGCCTTCCACAATTCCAGATGTATGGGACTTCATCATAGCTGAAAACCATCTGATTAAGGAAGTCTCTTTCTCTCTCCTTCTTTCTCTCATATATTATCAAAATATAACTTTTCATCTGCGATCTAAAGCGATACGGTTCACTCCAGTCTACTCATTTCTTTTGCATAACATGTACATAGTCTCTTAAGCTCCCGAACCCAATACTGGAGATGTCTTTACAAATCTTGGCAGGAGAAACTATAGCTGTGGATTCTTCCGCTTAGGCCAGCAAGGACTGCATAATTATCAATGAGGCAGAAATGGTCCAGTTAATTTGGAACAAGGCTAACAAACCTGCAAGGAAACCTGTACAGAAGTCAGAAGGAATCTGGTGGTACCTTTTTGTTATCATAAACTAACCAGTCTATACAGGTGTAGGAATCTGTTTCTACTGATAAGTGAATAGCCTCTGTTGGATCAGCTGAGGCCACAATCTTATAAACATTTGTTGGGGAATAACTTCTAAGTGACTGTGTTCAAGTTCCCTTCAAATTTGGAATTATTACTTCTGAGCAACCTTGGTGTTGGTAGTTTTACAGAAAGCACATTCTTGCAAACAGGCTTTTTGAGTGAATGTATTACATATTTACATGTTGAAATGGTTTATTGTGGGCCTCAAACATTTAAGGAAGGAGAGGATAAGCTAAATACCATTCTGACTAAAGAAATAGTTCAATTTGTTCCATATATAACTTCAGTGACTTCATTTATTTAAATTAGTGATACAACTCTACTCTGCACATTGTTCTTACTTGAAGTTCACATGGAAGTAGATCCCGCTGTGTTCAGTGTAGTTTACTCCCAGGTGAGCATCTGCCGATTTTCAACATTAGACTCCAAACATAGTTATTGGAAAGTGAATCTATTCAACAATTAGTTTGATCATCAGCCTATTTTGATGGAACACCTGTCTTTTAAATAAAGTATTCGCGGTATGTCACCAAAGAAACATCTTAGATGTTGACTTAGACTTGCCAGTCTACTTTAACTTGGAAGTACTCATCACTTAGTAAAATAGCACAAGACTTGTTTTTGTTGTGATAAACTAATACAACTAACTGCCTCCTACAAAATTGAGAGAGAGAAAATGGAGAGCCAGTTTGATCTAGTGGTTAAGGCACCAGGCTAGAAAGCAGGAGACTGTGAGTTCTAGTCCCACATTAGGCATGAAAGTCAGCTGGGCGACTTTGGGCCAGTCACTGTCTCTCAGCCCAACTCACCTCACAGGGTTATTGCTGTGAGAGATATAGGAGGAGGAAGGAGTTTAGGTATGTTTGCCACCTTGAGTTATTTATAAAAATAATAAAAATGGGATTAAAAAAAATCTAAAAAAATGTTTCGGTAATGAGCTCAGTCTTGTATGTGTTGCCTACATACAAGAAGGACATAGCAGCAGGACTGGAGAAATCCCAGGGCTTAC